CCCTATTTTGCAATTACAATTTCTATAAAACAGAGTGACCATCGCTCACCATCATAACTCATCTTCTATTCCAACTTTCACTCAATCACATTCGTTCTGATTCAATTAACTTCCAAGACCTCAGGAGTTTGAGAAGATACGACGATGGCGAGTGCATTGGTCATTACCAAAAAACGAAACATGTTACAGAACCACAACTACTCAAAAGATGATTCAGAAAACAAGGACTTTCCTAATTCGGAATCCGAATCCTAATTACTTACAACCCATAAAAGCAACACGAAGACAATACTACTCCTACAATTCAACCCATAATTTCTTGACCGCAAGACTTTAACATGTAACCAAAACCACCACAAATCTAACCACCGAACCCGTAGAGAGTCCTGCCTTGCCTCTTCAAGGCGTAGACGACATCCATGGCGGTCACCGTCTTTCTCCTGGCGTGCTCAGTGTACGTCACAGCGTCTCTGATGACGTTCTCTAGGAAGATCTTGAGGACTCCTCTGGTCTCTTCATAAATCAGACCACTGATACGCTTCACCCCTCCTCTTCGAGCCAGCCTCCTAATTGCCGGCTTGGTGATTCCTTGGATGTTGTCTCTCAAAACCTTCCTGTGCCTCTTCGCTCCTCCCTTTCCCAGCCCTTTTCCTCCCTTTCCTCTTCCCGACATTTTCGATTACGCGATAAGAAGCAAGTGGTCTGAAGAAAGATACACATCATAAAGACAAGCACTCTGGAAAAAAAAAAAAAGAGAAACCCTAAAATCTAAATTACCCGATGGAAATAAAATCCCAACAAGAAATTGAAGGATCCGACAAAAAATCTCATCCGCAATTCATTTTTCTATTCAAATGATGTATCAAAGTGCGAAGTTTCTATAAAAATCGACGTAGAGGAACCCTTCCCATGAATCTCAGAAACCAAAAATTTTCAGACATTCAGAGACAGAAACAAAACAGAAACCGATGAAAATGAAATCAAAATAGAAAACTCGCGAGAAATCGAGGAGGAAAATACCTGAGTTTTGAACGCAAAGCGATAAACAAAAAGAACTTATCGGGCAGATGACTGAATACGAAAAATGCTCGTCGATGAATGTTTTTTTTATAAGAGACGAGAAGGCTCTATCAAATCCTTGTGCTTTTACTATTCACCGTTGATGAAAAAGAGATCGGACGGTTGCCGTGAGGATTGCTGACGTGGTAGCGCCGAAATTTAATTTCAAATTTCGTTTTTTGTAATTTATTTCGCAAGCGAAATATGAATCACCCGCCCTTAATGGGCGCCAATAAAGTAAATATTTGGGCCAAATTGTAATCGAGTCGGGTTGGGCCCATGACCAGAACTTTTATATCCTAGCCCATTTGTCGTCGTTCTTCAGACATTAAAAATAAAATAAAATAGGGGATGTGAAAAGGTGGGTTTTTGGTTATGCTATTTAAAATCAATTCTATAATAATACATAATTATATCCTAAAGGTTATAAATTTTTAAAATTAAATTAATCATATATAAAAGTAAGTGAAAAAAGAAGGAAAATAATTTTTAAAATGAACATGAAAATCGATTGCGAGTACTTTTTTTCTTTCAAAACTTGAAATTTCGAATAAGAAAATAATCTAAAGGATGCCCGGATATATATGATGTTCCATTTTAGTTTTGTTTTGGCCCTCTACGATCGGACGCCAAATGTTGAAAATTTCGTAGGGGGTAAGGAATGGGGAATTTTTCTAGGGTTCATATAATTTTGTTTTTGTAATATTAAATTCGATACGAGGCACCCATGTAAAATCAAATTCAATTTAATTACATATGCACGCACACACACACACACACATATATATATATATATATATTACTCCAAGACGTGGTACCAAGTTTTGAAGAAGCATACACTTTTTAAAAAGAAAATGAAGGATTTTGGGTTTAATTGTGAATTCAATAAATATGACGACCAAAGTATAAGCTCTGGAAACAATTCGGGTCAAAAACAAAATTACGAAAATCAAGAATTCGAATATTTTCAAAGTTGGCTTTTGGCCTTTTGTCCTCTTTTTACAACGGTCGGATCACGGATTTAGCAATTTAACGGCTAAAAATCTGACGCCGTCACATCCTCAAGAGTCTCATAGTCAAACGCCAGCCCCTGCCGTAACGGTCTTATTATCTTGTTTTTTTCTTTTAGCTTCCAGAAAAGATCTCCATTTTATTTCCACCCCTATTTCTCCGCGTCATATATTCTTCCCTCTCGCCATCGCCGATTACCCATCTTAGGCAGATTTTCCGATCGATTTGTTCCACGCAAAATTCATCCGCGATAGCTTCAAGGAATCAGGACGAATCCCTCACGTTTTTCCTTTTGATCGGTACACTTTCTCTGTTAATTTCATGTTTTTCCCTGATTTTCGTGGAGATTCAGCTGCTGATATCGAATTTCGTATCCGCCATTTCCGATTCTAGTAGCGATCTATTAATGTTGGTGTAGATTAATAATCGTTAGAGTTGTATATGAATGAATAATTATCCGAATTAATCATAGATTGATCGCAATACAGGATTACTTTCGCAATCTCTTTGTTTCTATTTACGAGCTCTCTGTCACGAATGGATGAGCAGAAGAGAGCTGACTTGCTGATTCATTACTCGTTGTGGGTCTCCGTCATGATTTCTCGGGAACGTCATAGCATTGAAGCAATTTTAGGGGTCAATCGAGTTTGATTTTCCTTTATTGCTTTGGGCTATGTTGGTATTTCTAAAAATGTTACATCTCCACGAGTAGGGATTTTCAGCTTGTTGCTCTTTGACTTATAGTTGCTTTCTTTGTCGCATTATCAGGAACAATTAAAATGAGATTCCCTTTTTTTGTCAATATTTGTTGTGTTTTAGGTAAGAGTGAGGGCTTTAAGATTCTCTTTTTTCCTTGATGCAGGAAAGTACATTCTTGATTCCTAAAGACTACAAGAAGGTGAATCATGGATTCTAATCAACAAAAAAAGGGTGCTTCATCGAGATCTCCATGTAATACTCCGCGTTCAACGGATAAATCAACTCGGGACCTGCGAACGGCTGACTTAAACTCGAATTCGAGTAGCAAGAATGATAAAGATAAGGGTGTGAATATACAGGTGATCGTGCGTTGCAGGTGCGTAATTTTCGGAACTTACTTGCAAGAAAGGGTTCAGCTTATAACTCTCTTTTTAATGTCCTAACTGCCCGTTGAGGTTCTGGGTTGTGCAGACCTTTAAATTCCGAGGAGACGAGGTTACAAACACCGGTTGTGATTACATGCAATGAACGTAAAAGGGAAGTAGCAGTAGCTCAGAGCATTGCTGGCAAGCAGATTGATAGAACATTTCTGTTCGACAAGGTTTAGTTTCTCTCATTGTCTGATTTTTTGGATAAACCTTTAGCGCTATTCAGAAAGTGTGCAAGATGGAATGTATCTGTATTATCATGCATACTGAAAGATGTAATCTCGTGCTTTATTTTAAGAGATATACTTGAAGAATTGCCTTCCTTGAACCATCCTGACAAGTTCATGGAATTTGTTAGGTCTTTGGTCCAACATCCCAACAAAAGGACTTGTATCACCATGCAGTTTCTCCAATAGTGTTTGAGGTTCTTGATGGGTATAATTGCACCATCTTTGCATATGGGCAGACAGGAACAGGAAAGACATACACAATGGAAGGAGGAGCAAGAAAGAAGGTACAGATATTTGTACACGCACTTCGAAGGATCTCCATTGTTTACTTACTATGAATTTGTGATAGCATCCTTGTCTGATGGAGTCTTTTCTGTCTCCAGAACGGTGAAATTCCAACTGATGCAGGTGTCATCCCAAGAGCAGTGAAACAGATCTTTGATATTCTGGAGGCTCAAAGTGCTGAATACAGTGTGAAAGTTTCATTTCTAGAGCTCTACAATGAGGAACTAACAGACCTTTTAGCTCCAGAAGAAACAAAATTCTCGGATGATAAATCAAAGAAACCTCTAGCCCTAATGGAAGATGGAAAAGGTGGTGTCTTTGTCCGAGGATTAGAAGAAGAAATAGTGTGTACAGCTGATGAGATTTACAAAGTCTTGGAGAAAGGTTCAGCCAAGAGACGCACTGCAGAGACCCTTCTTAACAAACAAAGTAGTAGATCTCACTCTATATTTTCAGTTACAATCCACATAAAGGAATGTACTCCAGAGGGAGAGGAGATTATCAAAAGTGGAAAGCTAAATCTGGTAGATCTGGCCGGTTCGGAGAACATTTCACGCTCCGGTGCTCGAGAGGTACACAATACATTATTGATCTGATCCTTTTCTCATACATTAATGTTGTGAATCAATGAAACAGAAATTGATGTAGTCAAGGTTGCTTAAGAACCATTGCTTTTTTCATCAACAAGAAGGCTGTGCTTCACTTTCTACAATTTTTCTAAACAGAAATGAGAGTGGCTCTCTTGCAGGGTAGAGCCAGGGAAGCAGGGGAGATTAACAAAAGTTTGCTCACACTTGGGCGTGTCATAAATTCTTTGGTTGAGCACTCTGGTCATATTCCTTATAGGTAACTGAAAAATTTTACATCCAGAGCTCCCATTGGAAGCTATCTTCTTAAAACGAGGACGATTGTAAAATGATTCCTCGCATTTGAAATTTCAGAGAAAGCAAATTGACAAGACTGTTGAGAGACTCCTTGGGAGGAAAAACCAAAACATGTATAATTGCTACATTTGCACCCTCTGTTCATTGCCTGGAAGAAACACTCAGTACCCTTGATTATGCACACCGTGCCAAAAATATCAAGAATAAACCAGAGGTGGGCCACAAATATACTACTAAGTACCATGTTTTACCGCTGCCAGTAACGATATATGACCGTCCTCCACCTTTTCCTCTTTCAGGTTAACCAGAAGATGATGAAATCAGCCATCATGAAAGATCTGTACTCTGAAATTGAACGGTTGAAGCAAGGTATTTCTTCGTCATATATCATTGACATTTTTTACTCCTATAGTAAAACACAAAACTCAAGCATCTGTTCTTGGTTGTCCAGAGGTATATGCGGCGAGGGAGAAAAATGGGATTTATATTCCAAAAGAGAGGTATCTTCAAGAAGAAGCAGAGAAAAAGGTATAATCCTTACGAAAGAATATAGAACTCTCAAGTCCTTAAGAAAGAATTGAAAGATTATTATATGTCTTCATTGCCACAGGCAATGACTGAAAAGGTAGAACAAATGGAAGTTGAGGCAGAAGCTAAAGACAAGGTAATATTTGGAAAAATTATATTCCTGTCAGTTCAAGCACCATATATGGGCAATTCTGATATCGAATGGCTACTTGAATGCAGAAAATTGTTGAGCTTCAAGAGCTGTATGATTCTGAGCAGCTTGTAGCTGCGGAATTGAGAGAGACGCTTGATAAGACTGAGGTATCACAAATATTTTTGCTGGATTTTGTAGTGTATCCTTTCTTTTGACACACTGAGGGAGGTATCACCAATTAACTTCTTGGACCTTTTGTCTTCTATGGTTTCAGATAAAACTCAGGGAAACTGAACAAGTTTTGTTTGATCTCGAAGAGAAACATAGACAAGCAATTGCAACAATTAAAGAGAAGGAGTTTTTGATATCTAATCTCCTTAAATCTGGTGAGTTGTTGTCATATCTGTCTATGGTAGTGAAAAACGCCTATTGTTGATTACAAATATATGAGATCATTTCTTCAGTTTATTTGAAACCATTGAAACTTGTTTGGACTATCTGTTTGCTGTTTTTTTCTTTGAATCCTAGGTGAGAGCATGTGGCCAACTATCGATCCTTTTTTTTTCTGAGCATCTTACAAATGATGTAGAATGTAACTCTTTTCGTAACTTCGCAGAGAAAACACTTGTCGAGCGTGCTGTTGAGCTTCGGGCAGAGCTGGATAACGCAGCTTCAGATGTCTCCATATTGTTTGCCAAAATTGGTTGGTATTGCAATGATCATCTCTCCATTTGTCGGCATTATATTCTTGTAAGCTTACTAAGTTATTCCTGCAGAGAGGAAGGACAAGATCGAAGACAGTAATAGATTGCTCATCCAAAACTTCCAGTCACAACTAACAAAGCAACTTGAGCTATTGAACGGCACCACGGCAGCTTCAGTGAATCAGCAGGAGGTACAGATATTTGTACACGCACTTCGAAGGATCTCCATTGTTTACTTACTATGACAGCAGGAAAAACAATTGAAAAACATGGAGGAATTTATGAGTTCTTTTGTATCAGCAAAGACTGAGGTAAGATGGACAAAGTCACCTGTTCATCTGAATGAGAGTTCATATCTACAAATAAGCTTATGCGATTTATTTTTTCTGTCTTTTTCCCTTTCCCCACTTCCGAAGGCTACTGAAAGGCTAAGGGGAAGTTTAGCACAGTTGAAGACAAAATATGATTCAGGTGTCAAGTCTTTCGAAGATATAGCAGAGAAGCTTGATGGAAACAGCCAATCAACTTTGGATGGATTGAACTCAGAAGTGTCAAAGCATTCGCATGCTTTAGAGGATGTAAGAAGAATCATATCACTAATGCCTAAATAGTATTCTTCTTATAAACGGATTTCGAATATATAGATGTAACGTAAAGGTGACATTATCATGACTATCATTGGTTTGATGTGTAGCTCTTTCAAGGATTTACCACGGAGGCTTATGCATTACTCGAACGACTTCAAGGTAGCCTTCACAAGCAAGAGGAGAAGCTTTCGGATTTCGCACAACAACAACGTGACTTACATTCAAGATCATTGGAATCTACTCGATCTGTCTCCACGGTAATGTTGGAATTCTTCAAGACTCTAGACATGCATGCTTCAAAGCAAAAAGAACTTGCACATGAAGCACAAAGTGTCAATGAGCAGAAATTATCAACGTTCCAGAAGCAATTTGAGGTGGATTTTGCTATCCCCAGTTAAACTTCTATAATAGCGTTCAGCCGTATTCATGCTTATAGATCCGTTTATGTCTTTTTTATGTCCTTTAGGAGTCCATAGCAAATGAAGAGAAACATTTGCTTGAAAAAGTGGCGGAATTGCTGGCAAGTTCGAACGCTAGAAAGAAAGAACTGGTAGGCGGTTCTATACGAAATTGATTTCCGTGATTCAGGAAGATTCTGAATACATTTTTGCATCTAATGAACTGTACAATTCGTTTTTGTTTTCCAGGTCCAAATGGCTGTGCAAGATATTCGTGATGGCTCATCTTCCCAAACCTCAGCATTACAACAGGAAATGTCTGCAATGCAGGATTCAGCTTCCTCCATCAAAGCCGAATGGAATTCTCACATGGGCAAAACAGAATCTCACCATATCGATAATATGTCCGCAGTTGAGGCTGCAGAGCAAGAAATGCAAGATATACTTTTGAAATGGTAACACTTTTTTTTTTGCGGACAAAACCCCGTGTTTTTTACTTTTGTCTGCTCTGTTATTTCATATCTTGAACAACTGCATATTTTTTTTTCAGCCTGGAGAATGCAAGAACTGGAAAGCAACAACAGGAAACCGCTCAGGAATCTTTTTTGAGTCTACAAAACAAAAATGTTGCCTCTGTAGATTCTATCATCCGGTATGCTCCCCTCTCTATCTCTTTCGTGAAGTTTCACCTTCCGATATTTCCAATTCAACTTCACCGAAAGATTTATCTTTCTCACCAGAGGAGTGAAGGGAACCAACGAAAACCTACGAGCTCAGTTCTCATCTGCTGTCTCGACGACTCTACGAGATGTGGATTCTGCAAACAGCGATATCCTCTCGTCAGTTGATGGTAAGTATCGGAAAATTACCTTTTGACGTATACAGTTTCATCGGATTTTGATGATATCTCCTTAAATGTATCCTAAACATTTCTCTGGATATTTTTTGCAGACTCGTTCCAAATAGACAAAGAAGCATGCACCAATGTCAATTCCTTGATCGTTCCTTGTTCCGAGAGCTTGAAAGAACTGAAGACCGACCATGAAAGCAACGTCACAGAAATCAAAGACAACACCGGAAAATGTCTTTGTGATGATTACAAGGTGGATGAACCATCATGTTCGACGCCAAGGAAGAAAAACTACAAGATTCCGACGGTTGGGTCTATCGAGAAACTCAAAGCTCCAGCATTCGAGGAACTGCTTAAGGAGTTCCGAGGTTCGAAGTCTCCTAAAGAACAATCAAACGGAGAGGTAAAACACAACAGTAGTAACGGTCTTTGTCTATCTGTGTCAGAACCTCGATCTCCATTAACGGCCATCAACTGAAAAACCAGAACAAACAATAGGGCAGAGACCGGAACAGAAGAAGAGATCAAAGTGTTGATCCTAGTTTCTTCAGATGATTGTTTTACACGAAGCATTAAGACATGAAAAAGAGTGTATTATAGCAAGAAATCTCTAAGATTTTGGCTTGTTAGATTCTTATATGTTTTCTTTTTATGAAAAGAAATAGAATCGGTAAGATAAAAATACAATGAACCACATTGTTATAACAATGATTATTTAATTTGAATCTTACCAAATACAAAAATATGCTTTTTTGATATCAAACTTCGTAACTATTTAGACCGTCTGATTCAATTGGGTCAATTGCAAAAATACCCTTAAATGATACATTGGACGTCAAGTGATACCCTTCATAAAAAAAAGGAAAAAAACAACATCAAATATAACGTTATAAATGTAGTTTCCCTATAATACCCTTTATTAATTTATATAATATAATAAAATAAAAATAATTTCTTTTATATTTCTCTCTTCTCTCTCCACCTCTCTCTCCCGCTTTCTTCTCTCTCCACCTCTCTCTCCTTTCTTGCGCTCTCTCTCTCCCCCTCCTCTTCTCTCTCTCTTCTCTCTCTTCGGTCTCTCCTCAAATTTCTCTTCTGTATCATAATTTCTTGATTAATTTACTGTTAAACGCAAACGAAATCTAAAAAAATTTCATTCAATAAACAAAAATCTTGCTGATAGATAATTTATCATTTTAAAATATGTTATTCATTTTGGACATTTATAATTTTTGTTGTTTTTGAATTTATATTTGAACTATATGATATGGATGAGTCAAACGGATCAAATCGAGTAAATTCTCCAAACTGGGCAAACTCGCAAAGCTCATCAAAATAGTCATACTCATCAATCTGGTCTTACTCTTTAAACTGATCATATTACTCATATTATGTATTTGTTTTATGCAAACATAATGAATACATATGATAAAAAGAATGATAAGTATTTATTACGAGTCTTGTCATAAATGGGTAGTGAAAACAATATCCCAGGAATATGAGTAAAATTTTGCATTCCTGTAATGACATAATAATGATATTGTATTAATACATTCCAAATTTATATTTTGTAATAAAATTTTATGATTTAGTTGAAAGAACGTATATTATAAAAAAAAGTATTGTAGTTAGGGAGTTAGAATTATTTTCAACTTAAAATATTTGTTATATAGGTTATAGGGTGATTATTAATATACCGTTTATACGTGATAAAAACGTGAATTTCGATAAGGTGCGAGGTTTGACTAGTTTGACGGTGTGACGAGTCTGATGGTGAGACGATTTGTGAAAAAAAAATATCGATCTAAATAATATTTTGAATATTCAATGTGGTGTATATGAGTTATTATAACATATTTAACATGTTTTTATTAATCGTAATTCATCTGAAAAAACAATATCTTCTACCCTAAGACAATGTATTACACAAACTCTACTAGAACTTTAGGGTTTCATATAAGAGAACATGCATTGTCAAGAAAACAAAAGATGTTAAATTTGGAGATTTAGGATTAGTTTCAATCCAAGATACTTGTTCATTGGGGTAATAATCAATATGTTTACAATTTGCACTTGTTAAATTTGTGAAATTCGATAAGGTGCGACGGTTTGACTAGTTTGACGGTGTACCTATATAGCAACCAGGATTTCTTGCGAAATAGCCGCAAGCCTTTGGGCGATGATATCCATAATCCATGAGGTCACATCGGAACGGGAGGGTTTCCCCTACCGCGTACTGAGCGTGGTTTGAAGGATACGTATTCGTTTCACTATTCAAGTTTCCTGGTGAGACGGTTTGTGCAAAAAAAATATCGATCTAAATAATGTTTTGAATATTCAATGTGGTGTATATGAGTTATTATAACATATTTAACATGTTTTTATTAATCGTAATTCATCTGAAAAAATAATATCTTTTACCCTAAGACAATGTGTTACACAAACTCTACTAGAACTTTAGGGTTTCATATGAGAGAACATGCATTGTCAAGAAAACAAAAAATGTTAAATTTGGAGATTTAGGATTAGTTTCAATCCATGATACTTGTTCATCGGGGTGATAATCAATATGTTTACAATTTACAATTGTTAAATTTGCGAAATTCGATAAGGTGCGACGGTTTGATTAGTTTGACGGTGCGACGAGTCTGATGGTGAGACGGTTTGTACAAAAAAAATATCGATCTAAATAATGTTTTGAAAATTCAATGTGGTGTATATGAGTTATTATAACATATTTAACATGTTTTTATTAATCGTAATTCATCTGAAAAAATAATATCTTCTACCCTAAGACAATGTGTTACACAAACTCTACTAGAACTTTAGGGTTTCATATAAGAGAACATGCATTGTCAAGAAAACAAAATATGTTAAATTTGGAGATTTAGGATTAGTTTCAATCCAAGATACTTGTTCATTGGGGTGATAATCAATATGTTTACAATTTGCACTTGTTAAATTTGCGAAATTCGATAAGGTGCGACGGTTTGACTAGTTTGACGGTGCGACGAGGCTGACGGTGAGACAGTTTGTGCAAAAAAAATATCGATCTAAATAATGTTTTGAATATTCAATGTGGTGTATATGAGTTATTATAACATATTTAACATGTTTTTATTAATCGTAATTCATCTGAAAAAACAATATCTTTTACCCTAAGACAATGTGTTACACAAACTCTACTAGAACTTTAGGGTTTCATATGAGAGAACATGCATAGTCAAGAAAACAAAAGATGTTAAATTTGGAGATTTAGGATTAGTTTCAATCCATGATACTTGTTCATCGGGATGATAATCAATATGTTTATAATTTACAATTGTTAAATTTGCGAAATTCGATAAGGTGCGACGGTTTGACTAGTTTGACGGTGCGACGAGTCTGACGGTGAGATGGTTTGTGCAAAAAAAATATCGATCTAAATAATGTTTTGAATATTCAATGTGGTGTATATGAGTTATTATAACATATTTAACATGTTTTTATTAATCGTAATTCATGTGAAAAACAATATCTTCTACCCTAAGACAATGTGTTACACAAACTCTACTAGAACTTTAAAGTTTCATATAAGAGAACATGCATTGTCAAGAAAACAAAAGATGTTAAATTTGGAGATTTAGGATTAGTTTCAATCCAAGATATTTGTTCATTGGGGTGATAATCAATATTTTACAATTTGCACTTGTTAAATTTGCGAAATTCGATAAGGTGCGATGGTTTGACTAGTTTGACGGTGCGACAAGGCTGACGATTTGAGGTGCGACGAGTCTGACGGTGAGACGGTTTGTGCAAAAAAAATATCGATCTAAATAATGTTTTGAATATTCAATGTGGTGTATATGAGTTATTATAACATATTTAACATGTTTTTATTAATCGTAATTGGTATGTGTTTTTATTATTCGTAAATCATATTAGAAAATAATATAATCTACCCTAACCTAATGTGTTATAAAAAGTGTACTAGAATTTTGGGGTTTCTTTTGGGAGAACATGTATTGTAAAACAAAATAAAGTGCTAAATTCAGAGAGTTGCGAATATTAGTTACTAATGAAAATTGTTATATGGACTGTTTATTCAAGTACGAAGAGTGTGTAACTAGTATAACCACTTAACTTCATGACCACTTTGATTAGTGTAATCGTACAACCATTTCACTGGTATGTGCACTTGACGAATGTGACCCATTTAACTAGATTTATCATACTAGTCAAACTGGTCACACCATTCAAGTGCGACTAGAGTGACTAGTATGACTATTTAGCTTCCATATGACTCATCTTCTGTGAAAAATATTGCTTTCCACTTTCTAACTGAAATCCTAATTTTTTTTACCCATATAACTCCTCCTCCTTCTCCTTCTCCTCCTCGGAACCTTCTTCTTCATCTTCTTCTTCTGCGTTCAGCCTAATCTTTTGGATACTTTTCGTAGTTTAGACCAGAGATAATGGGATGTTCGGTGATCGAGTTTCTAACGGGTACACTGTCCAGAATAAACCACAACTCTTTCACATTTACTTCAAGCTTTAGTGCGCGATGTATAAGGACAGACAACTGAACCATCTTTAATGTATCTTCACATTGAAGATGGAAAATGTGTCGAAACTGTGACTCTTTGTTGAAATATGTACATTCTTCGTTTGTTAAATCCTTTTTAAGAGAACGAATAGTTTGAAACGGATAACACTTTGTTGTAATCTTGGGAACATGATGAATGTCGTTAAAATCATATACAAAAGATACCTGCAAAAAGAAAGTTAACATTTGTTATCACTTTTGTTTCAGCAGTGATCAGATTTAACAGACTCGTCAAATTTGTCAAACTCGTCATACCATTCAGGTGCGACGAGTGTGACTAATATGACCAAATTAGCAGTTTGACGAGTGTGACTGGTTGTGACCAGTTTTACCAGTTTGGTCAGACTAGTCTAACTCGTTATATCTTTCAAGTATGACCATTGTGACTAGCACGACCATTTTGTCACACCGTGACAACTTCAATATGACTCGACTTTGTGAAAAACATGATTTTTCACTTTCTAACTGAAACTCTAATTTTTCTGATTTATAGAACTTTACTAATATGACCTAATATGACTCAATTGAACATTATAATCGTGATTCGAGTTCCATATTACTTGACATTATGCAAAACAATGTTTCTCACTTTTTTACCGAAATCTTTATTTTTCTGATCCATATAACTACATAAATATGACCTATTTTACTCGATTTTGTTTTCCTATATTGTTTATCCAAATACACAGACATGAAATTCTAATAAAAATATCTCTCTTTCTCGGTGAGTTCAAATACAAACCTGGATATATTCGTAAATAGGAGTTGAAGACGATGAAGGAGACAAAACCATCTGAAGTGATAAGATATTGCAAAAAGAAATCGCAAAAAAAATCGCCGAAGAAAAGAGAAATCACACTCTATCCGTTAGAGTTACAGAGAAATCGTAAGAGAAATTGCAGAAATGAAGAGAGAAGAAGGAAATTGTTCAATATTTGACTTTTCTGTTTTTTTTTAATTCAAAACCCTAACACGTGTCTTTTTGAATCATATAATTTCATAACTTCTCTGGTATTTGTTTTATTTGTTCTCATCTTGACACGTGTCCTTTTAATTAAGGGTAATAATGTCTTTTTATTTTTTTTTTAAAACACTAATTTTGAAGGGTATGGGTCTATTCTTGTAATATTGCCGATTCAATTAGTAGGCCACTTCAAAAGCTGCTTCGTTCTATTTGTTTTCAATTTGGGCTTAATGGGCTTCTCTCTAGGCCCAATAAAAACCCTAAAAGTCGAATCAGCGTATCTATGAAATCCAGTCCAAAACCCAAACTTCCTCTTTCCTCTGAGAATTCTTCTGCAATTTTTTCAAACCGTCCAAAATGTCGAAGCGAGGTCAGTTCATCTTCCTCATCGATCTTCGTTTTCTCTTAGATCTTCCTTTTTCTATGTCGTTTCACTTCGGTAATTTAGAGAAACAAAAAGAAATGGAATCGTTTTTGGTTATATGTTATGGCGTTTCGCGTATATCTTCCGATTGCTACCTCTTTTTGTGCGTTAAGAAGATGTGAGTGGCATTAAGATCCGGAAATTCTCGGAGGTTCTGCACTTGTAATTTACTTTGCGTATCGTGTTTTACATAACTTGATTGTTGTAGAATGTTTTCTGTTTTGTTGCGTAATCGGAGACAGTAGTAGTTGATATGGGTAGGTAAATGCCTAAATGGTAAGAACTACCAGATTTGTGGCATGAACAGATCAAGGATCATGTTTATGTTTTTGGATTGTGTAGGACGAGGAGGTACATCAGGTAACATAACAAGTTCAGGATGTCACTGGGTCCGCCGGTGGCTACCACAGTGAACTGTGCCGACAACACAGATGCGAAGAACCTTTACATAGTTTCGGTGAAAAGTATAAAGGGCCGCCTTCCGCATGTGTCGGTGATATGGTGATGGCAACTGTCCAGAAGGGTAAACCTGACCTCAGGAAGAAGGTTCTTCCTGCCGTCATTGTTAGGAAGCGGAAGCCATGGCGCAGAAAGGACAGTGTCTACATGTATTTTGAGGGTATGATTCCTAATCCTACTTCTGTTTGCTTATGCTTTTCGATGGTTTCTCTCCGGCTACACTTGCTATGAATTGATTCTCTAGTTGCATCCTTGTTGATATATTTTGTTTGATTTTGGTCGCTGTCGTATTGTCTTGTCATGTGGTTCGTATGGTCACCTGTACATTCGGAAAGGTTGATACTGTCACAAGTCTGGTAAACGATTTGTGTTCATCTTCCATTTGCTCCATCTGGGCACTAAATATACTGGAATTAAATCAAGTGTGATTTTTCTGTTAACACTGAATCTGATGTAATGAAGAGTTGAGAATCTTTCAAAAATAAAATCTCTGATCAAATTACCCTTCTCTCTGTTGCAGATAATGCTGGAGTTACAGTAAACCCTAAGGGAGAAATGAAAGGTAAAATACAACCGTGGCTGCAATATTTTAGCTTTTACATCTCGGCACGATATCCCTTGATTCTGCTATGTACTTTAGAGTTCTTGACCGTAAGCTCGATGATTACGGGTTCTGTTGATAGGTTCTGCCATTACCGGGCCCATTGGAAAAGAGTGTGCTGATCTTTGGCCGAGAATTGCCAGCGCCGCTAATGCCATCGTTTGAGATAAAGATCAAACTGTCTTTTTTCAGAAGGTATATAAGCAGTTTTTGAGAGTAACTCTTCTTTGAGTTTTGGTGGTTCATTGTCTGGTTGCAATGGTTCTTGTTGTTGGAAGTTCAGTTGGTGTGTGTCAAATTGTTATCTTGAACATTGGTACTATCTTAGCAATTTAGGATAATCATCACGTCAGGCCATCGTTGCCTGGTTTATTTTTATTCTTTTTTATCACTTCCGCATGGGAATTATGTTTTTGTAAAGAGTTTCTTCTTTTTGTAATTGTTTGGACTCTGAAGTTAATTCAAATCATATTTCACCAAATTTTTTTTTTTGTTCTTTTAGTTCTTTTGTATGTTTGGTCGTAGAAAAAAGTGTGAAAGTAAAATATTTTATTTCAAAAATCCAAGGCAAAATATCCCAAATATAACTTCTTGTTAAAACTTCAAACTATAACCTAGCTACGATGATGTGACCAAAATAACTATATGGTTAAATTTGTGATGATTTTATCAAGTAATATGTAAGATGTGAATCTGATGATTTAAATTTGTGATGATTTTATCAAGTATTTAGCGTAATATGTAAGGTATGAATCTGATGATTTGTGATGATTTGATATTAATTCATAAGATCATTATATATTTAACGTTATGATCAATATGACTATCATATGATCATAAAGATATTTTGGATAATGGTCCGATTGTTAATTTGCCAATGGTTTTGTACGACAATTGTAATTTTGGTTCGGATAAATAAATTTGAATCAAATTAAACATATATAATTATATAAAAAAAGAAACTAATAAAAAAACTCGTATATTTATACATCGGATTTAAAAGAAATAAAACATGGGAAGACCCAAACCAAACAGAACAAGAACCTCTCTCCATCAGACAAGCATATCATTATTTCCCTTCCTAAAACATCGTAGAAACAACAATTAGAGAGAGGTTTTGTTCCCAAAAACATTGACAATTTGACATGCACTAATGACACCATTAATCACTAATTAGTGATTATAATTAACCACATAACTTAACTATTCCCGCTAACCGGTCGTACCAAACCACAACACAGTCAAACCAAATTAAACCGGCCCTAGCCTAACCGGACTGAACCGAACCCGATGAAGAAGCTCTGTTCTGTTTCAAAAACGACAGAACACTGAAGCTTGCTTCCAGATCCCAAACCAAATCCATGGCGGACGAAACAATGGCAGTTTTGCAATTGTCATCTTCTCTGCTTTCGAGCTTTTAATTAAGAGGCTTGCTTGTTCTCCTCGGAGGCGTATCCGCTCGTCGGCGGAGTAGTGGATGCAGAGGAAGCCGATAAGCCGCCGCCACCGACGTCGTCGTCTCCGGAAGCTATTCCGAAGGTTCCGCCGGCTCTCGCGGCGGCGGAAGCGATGGACCTGGCCAAGCCGCCGAAGATCTCTTGCTTGATCCTCCCTCGCTTCGGCGGGAATACTGACTTCTTCGACTTGGAGAGTCCGCTTGTCGGAAGACGAGGAACAGGTGTCGCCATGGATGTACGGACCAGTGCTCTGCAAAAGAACAACACGGTAACTGGTTTAACAGGGAGAGAGAGAGAGAGATCTTAAAAAAGCGATGATGATGATGATGATGAAATGAAACAGAAAGACAAAGTCGTGGAGGATTTGTTTTTAACAGAAAGGGAAATACGGATGAAGCGATTAGCGAAGTCTTTCTTTCTTCTTGTTAAATTAAAAAAAAAAAAAGTTTTTTTTTAGTGCTGGGGGTAGCGAGAGAAAGGTGGTGGACGAAAAAGCACAAGGGCTCCGTATTTATAAGCCAAGGATGGGTGATGAGATTAAGCAGGCTAAAACTTTATTAATTTACATTGAAATTAAGGCCCTCGCTAAATAAAATAATTAACAGTTATAGTTCCGTTCTTTATTATTTTTTTTTTTGGTATAGGATTCACGACTATGGTTCTGACTAAACATAATCTATATTATAAACAGAATTATATTTATATTATGATTACTTTTATAAAAGCACGCCAATGATCGCGAGACTGAAAAAAATACAAACTAAATATATAAACTTTTTTTTAAAAAATTATCAAATAACTATACTATATATATATATATATATAAACTTTTTTGTGACCCTCACCCATTCATGAGACGTAAAACCATAATATTTATACAGAAAACAGTAATTTACAAAACGAAAGTCTGAGTATACTTTTTTTTCAATATGTAAAATAATAAAAGATATTTGTGAATGACTCGGAAAATTATTTTATATAAGCGATTGAGACGAAGTCTTGGAGGAATAACCGTGTGGAAATCATATGATTAAAATACGATTTTTATATCCTGTATCTAACGACAATAATATATATTTTTTCTCACAATATTTTTCCCTGCATATTAAAAAAAAACATCCACCAAATAAATACATTTTATTACGATACGTAAGCAAAATATTCCAGCAAACACATTTATATGCACCTTTTTTTAATGTGAATTTATACTTAGGGTAATAATCAAATCAAACTTTTATGCGAATTTATAATAATTTCAATAGCTCTATGGCATGTGTTTTTTTTTTATATGTAATTTCCACGCACAGTCGCTGGTGTACTTCGGTAACCCCTTATCTGCTTTTGCCAATAAATAATTAATTTAAGGGCGAAAATATTATATTATCTGAATTATTTGTCACAATATATATATATATAAAAATTAATTCTTCATCGTATTAGATATGGAACAATAATGCTTATATTTAACTAAAAAAAACAATAATGCTTATACTGTTATATATATATATATATATTCACTAATAAATATGTATATACGCATTTATAATGCTTATATATATATATATATATGCGCGTGTTATATATATATATTCTTATTTTATAAATGGATAGATTGATATAAAAAATATTTATCAAATACAATAATTATCCAGGCCTGAATCAAGCCTGGATAATTATTATTTTCAATATTTATTATTTTACATATTGAAAAAAATGTATACTCAGCCGCTTGATTGAGTCTCTCGTTGCTGTCGGAAGAGTAAGCGGACTCAGGTTTAGACGAAGTCCAACGCTGTCGGGTCGCGTGCATACAAAGACAAAACTCAACGCCACCAGCTGCTGAGTTATTTTCACTTTAAAAATACAATAATAATAATAATAATAATTAAAGAGTGAAATTTTATTTCGGTCAAGTCAATAACCGTTCTCAGTTTCTAATTTTACGTGTACTAAAAAATCAAGATTTCAAGAATACAAAAAATATTATATATATATAATATTAAAGAATAAATGTATAGTGGACCAATCCCATTGAATTTCATCCACCGCCTTTGTTCGGTATTTGACGTTGGGGTCTTGAACCAACAACACTTGAATTTGAGATAAGGTTTTGTATTTTTGCATGTTTCAATAAGATAAAGAGTCATAAATTTTTATTAATACATAGGTTCTGAAATCGTTGTGATTTTTAAACTCAAATACATATATCATAATTCTTTAAGTCAAATAGAGTGTAATATTTGCCTCTATGCATATGAGTTTAAAACTTACCCAAACTCAAAAGCAAATAGTATTTGATTTAATAATATTCATGATATCCCGGAAATCTTTTATATTTCTATAGTTATATTAGTAATCTATCGCATTAAATTATTCCATTTATTCAGAAAACCATTATGTTCATTTCGTTTTTTATTTGCTATACAGCAGACTAAATTCAAATAAAATTTCAAGATTTTTTTTTGTATTTCTGATTTAAACTAAGAAATAATAGATATTTATACAATTCACACTAAATCAATATATAACACACTAAACAAACCCAAATTATACAGTCTAATCCGTCTTAATTTGTAAAATCACAGAAATGAGAGGAGATTCAATACGGCCATAGTTTCCAATTAAACAAAGATATAAACAGAGGATATTTATCCCACGGAAAAAGCAAAAGGTGTGAATATTCGGCGGAATTCTTCAAAGATGCAAAGCCGCCTTAATTTCCACGTCAGCATTCGATTAAATAAATCACGACCGTTGAACCCTCCCCAGGTTCTATTAGATCAACGGCTGAGACAAGACCGGTCAACACTATCATGGGGTCTACTACCAAACCGATCCGACACCGTTGACGGAGTTTGGTGTTCTCTTCTATCACGTCTCTTTTTCCCTTTATTCACTTTTTAAAAAATATTTAAATTATAAAAAAGTGTTTGAAAAGAAAGTTTAAAAATTATTAAAACATCAATAGGAAATGATTAACAAGGGCAACCTTGCTTGAATCTAGGAACAAATTAGCCCTAGGAGATTTAATTGGATAACTGCATGGATCAAAAGGAACAGGATAATATTATGTATCACATAACTTGTTCTGGGATTAGTTGGGGTTTTGGTGGAATACACTAAGTTACAAATTTTTTTTATTTAAAATAATGTATATATTTAATATATATATATATATATATATTTCATTTTTAACCCTTTAACATGTTGTTCATAAAATAGAATATTTGGCTGTGTTTTCATGCTATTAAATATGCCCATAAAAGGAATAGACTATAAATCTGTTCTGCATAATAAATGATTTATTTATTTATATACTTATATACCAAAAATAAAATATAATTTGCAAAACATCACATTGTGAATATATAAATAAAAAGGCTTGCAACCCAAATATTTTAAGTGGGCTTGAGCCTATTTGGTTCGAAAGGGGATATTACAGAAATGCCTTTAAATGGCACCAGCGACTTCAAGTAGTACCCTTGAGATTTTAGGGTTTTCAAAAAAAATAGAAAAACGCTGAAAAGACATTAACACCCTTAATGAATAGGACACGTGTCAAGATCAGAACGAACAAAGCGTAAATCTGAGAAGAAAATTTTTGAAAAAATACGTGGCAGTTTTAAAATTAAAAAACAAACATAAAAATAAAATATTGAACGGAAGAAGAACTTCCTGTCTCTTCATTTTCACGATTTCTCTATAACGGACAGTGGGCGATTTCTCTCTTCCTTGGCGATTTCTGTTGCGATTTCTTCTTGCAATATCGTTCTCACTTCAGATGGCTTCGTCTTCTTCATCGTCTTCGGCTCCTAGTTACGAAGATATTCAGGTAAGTTTCGTATTTGAACTCACCGAGAAAGTGAGATATTTTTCTTAAAATTTTATGTCTGCGTGTTTGGATAAACAATAAAGGAAAATAAAACCGAGTAAAATGGGTCATGTTAGTGTAGTTATATGGATTAGAAAAGTTAGGGTTTCGGTTAGAAATTAGGAAACAATGTTTTTCATAATGTCGAGTCATATGGAACTTGAATCACGGTAATAGTGTCCAAATGGGTTATATTCGGCCATATTAGTGGAGTTATATAAGAAAAATTAGGGTTTCGATTAGAAAGTGAGAAATAATGTTATTCACAAAGTCGAATTTTATGGGAGTTGGGTCACGGTGTGAAAAAATGGTCGTACTAGTCACAACAGTCACATTAGAAGGGTATAACGAGTTAGACTAATCTGAGCAAACTTGTAAAACTGGTCACAACCAGTCACACTAGTCAAACTGAACAGGAATGTGTATTGGTCATACTAGTCAAATTCGTCGCACTTGAATGGTGTGACGAGTATGACAAGTTTGACGAGTCTGATAAAACTGGTGTGGGAGTTGGGTCACGGTGTGAAAAACAGTCACATCAGAAGGGTAAAACGAGTTAGACTAATCTGAGCAAACTGGTATAACGATGTAGATTGTAATCACCAGAAACTTTGTGTGATAACATTATTTGAAAACCCTAGTTAAACTCGTCGCACTTGGTCCAAAAACCCAAAACTTTTTAATTAAGTTAATTCATCGAGGGTTTTGGTTAGAAAGTGAGAAATAATGTTATTCACAAAGTCAAATCGTATGGGAGTTGAGTCACGGAGTAAAAAATGGTCGTACTAGTCACAACGGTCTCATTTGAAGGGTATAACGAGTTAGACTATTGTGAGCAAACTTGTAAAACTGGTCACAACCCGTCACACTAGTCAAACTGAACAGGAATGTGTATTGGTCATACTAGTCAAATTCGTCGCACTTGAATGGTGTGACGAGTATGACAAGTTTGACGAGTCTGATAAAACTGGTCACTAGTGAAACAAAACTGATAATAAATGTTTATTTTCTTTTTGCAGGTTTCTTTTGTATACGATTTTAACGACATTCATCATGCTCCCAAGATCACAACAAAGTGTTATCCGTTTCAAACCATTCGCTCTCTTAAAAAGGCTCTAACAGATGAAGAATGGGCATATTTCAACAAAGAATCACAGTTTCGACACATTTTCCACCTTCAATGTGAAGACACGTTAAAGATGGTTCCGGTGTCTGTCCTTTTACATCGCGCATTAAAGCTTGAAGGAAACGTGAAAGAGTTGTGGTTTGTTCTTAACGGTGTACCCGTTAGATACTCGATCACCGAACATGCCATCATCTCTGGTCTAAACTGCGAAAAGTATCCCAAAGATTGGGCTGAACGCAGAGGACACGTGTTTCGGATGAAAATATTTGGACCTTCTAAGGTGACTATATCAGGAGCATTGGAGAAGTTGCATAACACTTCAACCACGGATGTGGAGGACAGAAAACGGTTAGCAATATTGATTTTGCTAGGCGGGGTAGTAGACCATGGTATAAAGGGCAATGATGTGATTCCCAATGCCCGATTGAGGTAAGCGTTCATCCGAGTTTCTGTCTACTGACTCGACCGAGTCAATGTCTGACTCGGACCGAGTCAAGTCGCTGGAAGACTTAGAAGCTCTGTTAGCCTCAGACTCGGTGTCGCAGAGTTTCAACTCGACCGAGTCAAGTGTTGACTCGACCTTCCTACGTTCTGACTCGGACCGAGTCAGTTCTCTGAGCCCCACCACCGACACCGAGCCAGCTCGGAACGTCTCCGAACCCTCCACGACGACGATCAATGTCTCGGAACTGATCGAAGACTTCCTGAGTCAAGATCTCGTGCGCATCGACGAAGCACGCTGAGTCGGTGGTGGATGGCTGCTTCATGTCGTGATCTAAGGTGAACTCCACAGTCTCCTCACCTATCTTCATCGTAAGACGACCAGCACGAACATGAACTACCGCATCGGCCGTGTTTAAGAACGGTCGGCCTAATATAATCGGTATCTTCGAGTCCTTGTCCATGTCTAAAACAATAAAATCAACGGGAATATAGTAATCCCCGACCTTCAATGGAACATCCTCGAGAATACCTGCAGGATACTTGACGGATCTATCTGCAAGTTGTAGGACCATCCTCGTCGGCTTGAGATCTCCAATGTTGAGCTTCTTGTAGATGGACAATGGAAGCAAACTCACACTGGCTCCCAGATCACACAACGCACGGTCAATCTCAATGTTCCCGATTTTGCAAGGAATCGAGAAACTACCTGGATCCGATCTCTTCCGTGGCAACTCAGGTGGGGAGACTGTGGAGTTCACCTTAGATCACGACATGAAGCAGCCATCCACCACCGACTCAGCGTGCTTCGTCGATGCGCACGAGATCTTGACTCAGGAAGTCTTCGATCAGTTCCGAGACATTGATCCACTTGAAATATCCCTCCTGGCATCAAAAGAGAGTATACACAGCAATTGGGAGGATATTCGGGAGCTCACACAGGCGTTAGCCGATGAAATCGAGGAAAAATCCGAGTTTCTGTCTACTGACTCGACCGAGTCAATGCCTGACTCGGACCGAGTCAAGTCGCTGGAAGACTTAGAAGCTCTGTTAGCTTCAGACTCGGTGTCGCAAAGTTTCAACTCGACCGAGTCAAGTGTTGACTCGACCTTC